GCGAATTAATACAAGTTGGTGTTATTAGACCAATACTTTCATTCGCCTTCATGTATTTTGTTATTGCTTTACTGATTTGACAGCACACCCATGAAAGGCAAAAACAAAATATATGTAAACTTTGGGGCGAATTGAGATTTTGACATAACACCCGTAATACAAAATACATGACAGGGGTTTTTTTTTTGTGACAATCACCTTGTATAAATGCGCCTTGCAAACGAGCATGCCGTTTCTGCGTCTTCCACCTCTTAATACCTGGGTAATAGAGGGGATAAATTTACCGATGTAGCCGTGGCCTGAGAGAAACGGTATTATATGAATGCTGACTTCGCCATGAGCCCGATTTAATAATTTTTCCTTGCTCCTATTTATGAAAAGATATACCCCCTTATTCTAGAACCCGAATTTTCGTAATTCGTAATTCGTAGCTACGCTACGAAAAACGAAAAATCCACTTGCTGCAACCCTTGCGGAAACATATGCAGCATTGCCAGCTATGAGTTGTTTTTCGAAGAATTAAAAAAGCATGTGCTTGTTTATAGTAAAATTTAATGATTTTCAATATTTTGAGGAAAATTATGGATTCTGATAGCAGCGGAGTAAGAGCGCGCTATGGCAAAGGACTCACAAAGGTATGTGGAGCTGCCGGGTATAGTAACCATGGGCGCATCTATGTCAGCTTCTGGTTGAATTGTTGAACCACAAGCCAGAACTCCTCCTATGCCTGAACATCTGGTTCTCGATCCAGTTAAGGCAATAACAGCTTCTTCCAAGCCATTGAAAACATGCACTTTGTTAGGTCCACCAACTGTTGCACTTGCTTCTGCCTTCGGTCGCGCTTAGCGATTATAACCCTTACTAAGAGGGGCTTCCCCATGTCAAAAGTATAAAACATTTCTGGTGCATATCACTCCGGCTACGCCGTCCACAGTATTTTTGCGCAGAACCCAAGTCGAAATATGCAAAGTGTAATAAGCTAGTGGTAGAAAATTTGAAACATTTATCTTAAAAAAATGTAAATCCTTTGATTACACGTGTATGTTAAAGTTTTTGGGTTCGGGCTATGCGTTTGGACCCAAGTTTCTCGATAAGGGGCAACAAAGATTCTTTTTTGCTCGTTTATATGAAGTAGTGGATAAAAATATACGTATATGCGAAAGGCAAATTTATCTGTTTAAAAAATTGAAAAATACCCTATCCCAGAATTTAGTTTAAGAAGGCCCTATTTCTGAATTCGTTTCAAAAACGCCCTATATCAAATGAAAATGTATTGAAAATGTGCGGAGATAAAGCGAGCTTGAAAAGTTTTCTGAAATACGACGTTTTCGAACTGGTTGCCGAGAGGTGTCGATTTCCTGTTAATATTCCTCTATTTGCATGAGAACAAGTCAAAAAATGTAAGTTTAGTAGGTACTCCAATCTACCTACTAAACTAAATTTATATTTGGCTATTAGTTAAGATTGTCTTTTCAAATGGAACCATTTAGTTTACACATATGCATTAATAAGGATTAATCAATCAACTACTGTAAAATTTCGAAATGCAATTTTCGAGGAATTTTTTATGTTTGGCGTAAGTCTTAAAATATGATAAATTTTTATACATATTTAACATGGGAAAACAGAACAAATTTTTTTTTTTTTATGGAGATATTTATGTAAGTAAGTTTGTACATCTGTCAAGGTGCCACGGGTAATTCGAGCTAGGCGGTCGAAATTTGTATGCATATGTATGCATGTGTCTATGTGAAGTTATTGTCTACTTCACTTCACAGGACTAAGCAGCTGATAAAGGATGTCTTTCTGCTTAAATCAATGCCAGTAAAGAGCGGAACTGATCCTTTTGCAATTAACAGCAGCAGAGAAAACTGAAAAAAAAATCAAAAAACAAAAAAAAACACATGTTGCAAGGCCTTCTGTGAGGTTACCTAAACTAGTACCTACATATCGTCGTTTAAAGTACAAAACCGCGTATCGTCATTCTGCAAAACCGCGTAACTGATATTTGCTGCCAAAAATTGGATTTGCTCACACTAGCTCTTGGCTCAATCCTTATCCATTCGGCCGGAAATATACTAGCCAGAAACGCAATTGCTTTATAAAAAAGAGAACCATTTTGGAAAATGAGTGAGAGTTTTACTCTCTAGAAAATAGTTTATGCAACCTCACATACGCGGTTTTGCATTTTGCTGATACGCGGTTTTGTACTTTAAACGACGATATGTATGTATGTAGGTAGTATATTCCTTGTATGATGCACAAATGTGCATACAAACACTAGTGCACAGACAACATAGACCGATTTATGACCTGCTATTTCGATACCTGAATATGCATGAATCCCTTTTAACCGCCTTGCAACCAAAAAGCAGAACAGTCAATGTCGCGCATGCGTCTGAAACGCATCGAAATAAATAATAATAAACTGAATATAGTAAACTTACAGTTTAGAACTAATAAACAGAGTGTAACAGTGTAAGAAAATAATTGACATATTTATTTATTTAGTGCGCGAAGTTAATTGTTGGAGTGGTGGACGTGCATTCGATTGAAAGAGGACATTTACTCGCCTCCTTAAGTGCGATTTTATGATGGAACTCTTATCCGGCAATTCCTCAACCGTACAACAACAAATGGCAACCGGCAATAAAGTACCGAATGCGCCCAAAACAAATGGCAGTGGTACGCCTGCAGAACGTTTGCTAGCTGGCATTTTCGATTCGTTTCCTACTTGGGACATGAATAGCGGCGCTCGGGGTGCCAATCCGTCGATGGAATCGTCAACTGAGTGAGTATAAGCGCCAAATTAAATCTAATTACTTAGTATTCACTTGCCTCATAAATATGTTCTAGAAGTGTTTCAAGTGAAAGGTTGGGGCTTTTAATGAAGTTTTACAATAAACGTAAAACCGTAGGCAAACTCTTTCTTTTATTTATTTTCGCACGAAAGAGAAAGCGAACATTTGACCTATTGTGCAATCGTTCAAACAATTTTAATTTAAAATTTGTATTTAAAAACTACTTCTGTTCAAAACTTTTTAAATCTCTAACATGGACAAAACCGAAAAAGACTGCTTCAAAAATTGTGCTACTTTTGCTATGCCCATGTCATTATAAATAAAGCCCGTACAGTACGTCGCTCCACCTTCTTCGGTGCACATTATCTATGTAAGAGCGTAACTTTTTTCGTCGGGAGAGGGCTAAGGGCGTCAGAAAAAATCGATGTTTCGCTTCAATGCATTGAAAATTTTCCACTCGATGAAATGTTTTAGAACAACTCTTGATTGCAGGTTTGTTGAAGCAATTCTTAAAGCTTTTTATAATCCTCACACTTTCTCCTTATAAAAATTAAATTGCGTTTTAAGTTGCATACATTGTATATGTATCGAGAAAATATAGTATCCAATGAAATGGACAACAGACCTGCAATCAAGAGTTTTTCTAAAAAAAACCTGAAAATT